CGTGAAAACCGTCGACCTGCTCTATGATGAAACAATACGTGAAAACCGTCGACCTGCTCTATGATGAAACAATACGTGAAAACCGTCGACCTGCTCTATGATTAAACAATACGTGAAAACCGTCGACCTGCTCTATGATGAAACAATACGTGAAAACCGTCGACCTGCTATATGATGAAACAATACGTGAAAACCGTTGACCTGCTCTATGATGAAACAATACGTGAAAACCGTCGACCTGCTCTATACGTGAAAACCGTCGACCTGCTCTATGATGAAACAAACCGTTGACCTGCTCTATGATGAAACAATACGTGAAAACCGTCGATCTGCTCTATGATGAAACAATACGTGAAAACCGTCGACCTGCTCTATGATGAAACAATACGTGAAAACCGTCGACCTGCTCTATGATGAAACAATACGTGAAAACCGTTGACCTGCTCTATGATGAAACAATACGTGAAAACCGTCGACTTGCTCTATGATGAAACAATACGTGAAAACCGTCGACCTGCTCTATGATGAAACAATACGTGAAAATCGTCGACCTGCTCTATGATGAAACAATACGTGAACACCGTCGACCTGCTCTATGATGAAACAATACGTGAAAACCGTCGACCTGCTCTATGATGAAACAATACGTGAAAACCGTCGACCTGCTCTATGATGAAACAATAGGTAAAAACCGTCGACCTGCTCTATGATGAAACAATACGTGAACACCGTCGACCTGCTCTATGATGAAACAATACGTGAACACCGTCGACCTGCTCTATGATGAAACAATACGTGAACACCGTCGACCTGCTCTATGATGAAACAATACGTGAACACCGTCGACCTGCTCTATGATGAAACAATACGTGAAAACCGTCGACCTGCTCTATGATGAAACAATACGTGAAAACCGTCGACCTGCTCTATGATGAAACAATACGTAAGCTATATGATGAAACAATACGTGAAAACCGTCGACCTGCTCTATGATGAAACAATACGTGAAAACCGTCGACCTGCTCTATGATGATACAATACGTGAAAACCGTCGACCTGCTCTATGATGAAACAATACGTGAAAACCGTCGACCTGATCTATGATGAAACAATACGTGAACACCGTCGACCTGCTCTATGATGAAACAATACGTGAAAACCGTCGACCTGATCTATGATGAAACAATACGTGAAAACCGTCGACCTGCTCTATGATGAAACAATACGTGAAAACCGTCGACCTGGTCTATGATGAAACAATACGTGAAAACCGTCGACCTGCTCTATGATGAAACAATACGTAAAAACAGTCGACCTGATCTATGATGAAACAATACGTGAAAACCGTCGACCTGATCTATGATGAAACAATACGAGAAAACCGTCGACATGATCTATGATGAAACAATACGAGAAAACCGTCGACCTGCTCTATGATGAAACAATACGTGAAAACCGTTGACCTGATCTATGATGAAACAATACGTGAAAACCGTCGACCTGATCTATGATGAAACAATACGTGAAAACCGTCGACCTGATCTATGATGAAACAATACGAGAAAACCGTCGACCTGCTCTATGATGAAACAATACGTGAAAACCGTCGACCTGATCTATGATGAAACAATACGTGAAAACCGTCGACCTGATCTATGATGAAACAATACGTGAAAACCGTCGATCTGCTCTATGATGAAACAATACGTGAAAACCGTTGACCTGCTGTATGATGAAACAATACGAGAAAACCGTCGATCTGCTCTATGATGAAACAATACGAGAAACCGTCGACCTGATCTATGATGAAACAATACGAGAAAACCGTCGACCTGCTCTATGATGAAACAATACGTGAAAACCGTCGACCTGCTCTATGATGAAACAATACGTGAAAACCGTCGACCTGCTCTATGATGAAACAATACGTGAAAACCGTCGGCCTGATCTATGATGAAACAATACACGAAAACAAATACTGTAGGCAGCAACAAAAGACAATCACTGATTAACAGGATCCTGACAGGCAAATACAGACAACCACTGATTAACAGGATCCTGACAGGCAAATACAGATAACTGCTAATTAAGAGGATCCTGACAGGCAAATACAGACAACCACTGATTAAGAGGATCCTGACAGGCAAATACAGACATCCACTGATTAAGAGCATCCTGACAGGCAAATACAGACAACCACCGATTAACAGGATCCTGACAGGCAAATACAGACAACCACTGATTAACAGGATCCTGACAGGCAAATACAGACAACCACTGATTAACAGGATCCTGACAGGCAAATACAGACAACCACTGATTAACAGGATCCTGACAGGCAAATAAAGACAACCACTGATTAACAGGATCCTGACAGGCAAATAAAGACAACCACTGATTAACAGGATCCTGACAGGCAAATAAAGACAACCACTGATTAACAGGATCCTGACAGGCAAATACAGACAACCACTGATTAACAGGATCCTGACAGGCAAATAAAGACAGCCACTGATTAACAGGATCCTGACAGGCAAATAAAGACAACCACTGATCAACAGGATACTGACAGGCAAATAAAGATTATGGTGGGTTTAAACAGATTTGTGAGTGCTCAACCATCCATAAACATAATTGGACAATGATTTAACAGCAAAATATTAGAAACAAACTGAACCTTTGGAAAGAGTTTGACTCATCAGATCGGCGCAAACTCAAAATTGATAAAAAGATCAACGACACAAATTATCGAGAGTACTCGCAGTAAATGAAAGCCGGTTAAAAGTCGATTACAACTAATAAATAAATCATGTTTTGCACGTTTGGTAAGTAATCCCTAGTATTTAGTGTTTTGTTTCTTTCGATGCCACAAGTGGACCTAACGTTTAAAACCTTAGTACCATCATCGCATTTTTGTTGGTTAATCATATAGCCCTGATTGTTTAAAGACACATTAATGTCATAATTCATGTTAACAAGAAAAAAAACATTTCAATATTTGAACGAATTTTACAATAAAATATTTGAGTATAACTTCACTGTAATAGGAAGTCATTTTGTTATGTAGTACTAACGTAATGAGTGACGAAACTTTTTATATTTCATTCAACATAATAAAAAGTATTGAAAAATTCAAAGTATTAGAAACCAGTAAGTAGGTGTCTAACAGATCCAAAAATGCCCACAGCAGCTTGATCAAATATGATGCCACTCTATTCAGCGATACACGAAAAACGTGTGTGGACATATTTGTTGGACGAACGAACGGACGGACGTACAAGGTGAATGCAATATAGCCCCCACTCTAGAAATGGTGATATAATAGTAATTTCTATGGTGTCTTGTTGTGGAAGAGCTATATGACCAAAAAGAACCTAAAAATTTGACCTAACATATGTTTGTTCTATGTTTTTTTTTTATCGCAAAATTAAATGTAGCCACCTCAATGACATTAAATTCACCAAAAGATATATGCTACAAGTTCACTTAAAACGGGCATGAGCTGCCAAATTCAAGTCCATCAAATTGACTCAAACTCTCAAATATGATTTATGACATACTAAAACGTATTTAGAATTACAAAAGTCCAACAGGAAACAAGAAACAATGCATAAGATCGTAAAACGTATCAGCATTGTGGTATCACGAAGCCATTCCAGCGACATGTTCACTAGAAGATTGCCTACAGATTCAGAAGATAAGTACGTTCAGTAGTTTACTGAAGGTTTTCTGTTTGTTCTCATATCATAGACAGAAGAAGACAATGTAAATCAACGGTTTCCTTGTAACCTGTATAGAATGATTGTTTTTTTCAGAGTCGAAACAGTCAACAAAACATGGTTTCCTTAGTTTCACTTTTCATGCTGACATGCTTTTCAACAATTGAACTTGCCGAGCGCATGAACAGTCATATCTATCTGGGGTCACATGAATATGAATATAGTTGAGGTCCAATTATTGTCTTGCAAATCAATAATGCTAATGAAAATGGACTATTCAGTGATCTGTTCATGTTCCGGAAATGTATATACGACCCGGGTAAGCTTTTCAATCCTTTAAATAAACTTTTTCTAAAAGGTTACCAATTCAAAACTGTAGTTAGATCTTTGAATATTGATTTATTGGTATAAATATTTTGTTCTCACTTAATTCAACCCATACTAAATAGTATTGTTATACACATGTACACTTTCACGGTACTACAAGATCCCTATATTTTGGCATTGCACAAGGTCATGTTTTTTTTTCTGACGTCTTTACACTAAATCCATTGGATTTTGAGTGTGTACTGATTGATACATCAGTCTAAGATAGATACATGATTTCTATTATTAGTTGTTATTGGCTTTGAACTATCTGTCAGTAACTGCGAGTACTCTCAGAGGTGTACTTTGTGTCTTTTTTATCGTCCGTTTTTGTCAGATGTTTTTTTCTGCTTTGTATAGATCCAATGAGTTAAGCCATTTTCAACCAATTTTTATAGTTTGTTCTTATGTTGTGCATTAACACCACTGTCCAAGGAGGAGGACAGAGCGCTCACAAACATGTTTAACCCCGCCACATTCTTTATGTGCCTATCCCAAGTCAGGAACCTGTAGTTTAGTTGTTGTCGTTGGTTCATGTCTGTCGTATTTGTTTTTCGTAAATTGTTTTGTTATAAATTAGGCCGTTAGTTTTCTCAATTGAATTGTTTCATATTTTTTATGTCGAGGCCTTTTATTGCCGACTATACGGTATGGGTTTTTCTCATTGAGGAAGGCAGTACGGTTGTCTATAATTGCTTACATCCACTTCATTTGTCTTGGGTTAATAGTTGTCTCATTGGCAATCACACCACATCTCCTTATTTTTATATTGTAAAATTTTGAAACAAAAGTAATCATGCTTTAAAATATTCAAGGTATACTGTCAAAATCGTAGCCAAATCCCCTTTAAAATATTGTTGCTACTGATAAAAGTGATAAAAACATTCTCATGGCTGTTACAAGCTAAAAGAAAGCTGCTATTTTTGAAACTTTAATAATGTAACAAGGAACAATATCAAGAAGGCTTATAATTTGAATAAACAATATAAGCTAGTAAAACAATTAAAAGGTTTGATTCAGAAATAGCACAACCATTTATGCACGTTGATTGTGGATTTGAATCAGGAGTCGTGATGACGTCACCATATTTCTTCAGAATTTCCAATGCAACACCATTTGTCCATCCAAATCCTTCCTGATTTGTAAAATAAACGGGTATATGAAATGACTTTTTAAATAAAAAGTTTAGTGTACCTTTCAAATGAGACTTATCTATATATTATGATATGTAACGAAGATATCTAGAATAGTTTCGGAAACTTGGTGACGACTAAATGATAGAAGTTGTTGGCCATCATATAAGTTAAACGCATGGCACATTCTCTGGAAAACGTTTATACCGAATCATGACTGCAAAAGCTTTTCTACACTGACTATGATTAAATACTCTCCGACTGTCGGAATAGGGACGGTCTAGCTGATGCCTGTGTTGGCTTAATTCTTCATGTTTAAGAACCATTTGAAACAACGTTTCTAGAGGTTAATGGGTGGCCTATTACAGCAATTTTATAGAAATTTATGCCCCTACCCAGCTATTTTTTTTTTATTTTACATTGCAACTGAATATTATTTGTCCACAGCTAATCTGCTTCATTGCTTTTGTTTCTAGTTTTGCAAGGGGACCAAAAATGTCCAAGTTAACCTTTAAAATAAATAATAAATTAAATTAAATTTTAACCATAATATATAATAAAGTTCGGATAAATTTTAACTCAGTTTTTTGTATACTAAATTTAAGTTATAAATAATGTGAAACATACCTGTATATCATATTCACCTCCTCCACCGCGAGTTCCTGGCTCAAGTACATTATACTGAAATATTTGTAAAATATCTTTACTTATGTCAGTATTGGTAGATCAAAGCAGAAAAGGAAATACAACTGTAACGTAAATATTACTGTTATATATGGGATATTATCTTGATTTTCTTGGTTTACTATAGTATTAAAGCAAAATTGTACCTTTTCAAACATGCCTCTTGTTCTTTGCCAACCTAAAAAGTTGCTGTCGAGCCATGATGACGCTAATGATCGAGCCAGATGCTTAGTCTGGGGAATACTTTCCAAAGACCATATCATTATCTGTTGTAGTGGAGACCATCCGTTTGGAAAATCCCACTGTTGGCCCGTGTCATCTAAAGATGTTGGAACTCCCCCTTTCGAAAAGTATTCTGTTATTTTATTAGTCTGAAGATATAACAAAATAAAAGAGAATTTATTCATTTACTTTTCTTTTCTTAAGAGAAATTGAAAATGTGCAAAATTTAAAAGTAATTTAAAAAGTAAAAGTTCAAAAATAGTTTGAACAATTCATGATTGGTATGAGTCTCATATAGGAAATCAACGTAAAAGAACCCGAATTTGCTATGTAAGTGCACTTTTCTGTAATAACCCTCTCCTGGCACGTATAGAGCAAAGAAAATCAAAATTGATATTTTACTTTTTAGGGTTAAGTTTGTCTTAAAGATCTTAGTGTAAACAGCTCAGAATTTGTTTGTTTAAATGTACAAAATGCCAAAAAATGTTTACCGTGTACATGATATCATAGGGAAAGGTGGTACGATAAACAAGGTTTTATGGTTCCCACTTACATTTAACCCTTCGTACATATAAATTAAAACATATATTTCACACAAACACACATTCATAGAGCAAGATGTATTTTTCAATAGAGATTCAGATTGCACAAACAATGTATATATACACCCAATATGACATATTTATTTTTCCTCTTCGTATAACTTTAATTGCGAACCAGGATTATGAAGGATTATGAAGGGCACCAACAAGGCAACGTTGTAGTGGAAATAAAAAGTCTATGTAACAACATATTAAATTTTAGCGATAGAAATTTATGTATTACTGAAAAATTATTACACCAGGGTTTTCGATATCATAAACTAGTCAAAACATTTACTAAATTTTATTATCGGTATAAGGACATCATTCGTAAATATAACTCAACATGCAGACATCTTATACGTTCGGGTATTTCACATCCAATTTTTTATGGTAATATTCTTTACAAAGCACAAAAATGTCAGTATGCACATCAAAAGCTAACAAAACCGTTAAACAGACTTATTAAGAAGGGATATAATTACGATACTGTTGTCAGGTCATTAAAGATTGCATATTTTGGCTTTAATATTGATTCACTTATAGGGTCTTTGCATCGGAATTAAACATATTTATTCTAAAACCAGTTGTTGGCATGACACGGGTTATGTTCTTCTCATATATTTTATGACGGCATAATACTAAACCCCTAACAGGAGGGATTGTGCCTGATATTCATATGATGAAGACATAATCTTTCAATCAGTTTAATTGAGGTCTGGAGCTGGCATGTCAGTAACTGCTAGTGGTCTGTTGTTATTTATGTATTATTGTCATTTTGTTTATTTTCTTTTGTTTCCTATTCTGACATCGGACTCGGACTTCTCTCAAACTGAGTTTTACTGTGCTTACTGTTGTACGTTTGTTTATTATACATTGGCTAGAGGTATAGGGGGAGGGTTGAGATCTCAAAAAACATGTTTAACCCCGCCGCATTTTTGCGCCTGTCCCAAGTCAGGAGCCTCTAGCCTTTGTTAGTCTTGTATCATTTTTAATTTTAGTTTCTTGTGTATAATTTGGAGTTTTGTATGACGTCCATTATCACTGAACTAGTATACATATTTGTTTAGGGGCCAGCTGAAGGACGCCTCCGGGTGCGGGAGTTTCTCTCTGCATTGAAGACCCATTGGTGGCCTTCGGTTGTTGTCTGTTCTATGGTCGGGTTGTTGTCTCTTTGACACATTCCCCATTTCCATTCTCAATTTTATTGGGTCCATAAGGGGGCGGGCCCCGTCCACTTAAATCCAACTTCGATTACATAGAAGAAATATAGAATTAAGGCTCTATGTATAGTAGTCCAAGAACTAATAACATGATGTAATGGTTCCTTTGAACAGTCCTTGATAATCTCTTTCTTTTGATCAAAAGCTATGACAGAATCAGTCCCTGTGATTTTTATTCAAATCTCAATACATATAGAAATAAATGATTTATCTAAAAAACATTCTGAAATTTCCCTCACATTAATTTAAAAATTAAACAGAAACGCCAGTTAATTACCTGTAGATGTTGTAATATTTTTTCCTTCTTTTCATTTGTTAAATCTGTACACTCCATATATACAGGGAAAATATTAGACATGAAGAAAAACTCTCTGGATTTATTGGTATGTAGTGAAAAGTCTTGCCATATTCCTGCATCTTTATTGTATAACACAGCTTCGATGGCTTCTTTACGCTGTGTTAGTTTTTGGTGGTAGTATTGTTCTTTTGTAGAATCACCTGAAAATGTTAAGATATGGAATAATAGGAAAGACAGGTTAAACAATAAAAAATCATATAACACAACGTCATGGCGAACAAAACGTGTTCCTAAAATTTTTCCGTCAGAAATAAAGTGTGACCTTAGTTTATGTAAATCTAAACCTTTAAAGTATGTCTGTATCAAAGCACTTGATACAGAACGAAAGGGACATGAAAGTTCACAATACAGACTCAATGGCGTTAATGTAAACATATGATGTCGAACCCTGTAGGCGCAGCGTGTGCTTCTGGAATAATCTTCAATAAGACCACTGGAGACCAAAAGGTATGGTTAGGAAAATAAATATGTGAAGAGCATAAGAATCATGTTAATTAAACATTGATATACAAATTGATAAATGATTAGGAAACTTGAAATGTAAGCTTTAATAAGGCATGGATTGAAGATTATTTATATTTTAAAAAATGACAGGAAGAAAAAATCTACATTGGATTGTCTCACTTTTTTTTTATATCTACGCTTTTCTTAATCAAGTGTGCAAGATTGTTTCTATCTCAAAATGACAGGAAGAAAAAAACTGTGAACTCGATTGTTTCCATTTTTTATTATTTGGACGAACCACATTTATAATGTGTTATTTTCATTTTCAAGCACTTAGTCAAAACTTCTGCTGTTGGAATGTTAGTCCCTGAGTGTATCATTGGCCCAATAGCAGTTAGTCCCTGAGTGTATCATTGGCCCAATAGCAGTTAGTCCCTGAGTGTATCATTGGCCCAATAACAGTTAGTTCCTGAGTGTATCATTGGCCCAATAACAGTGCTTCGGTACTGGCATAATTTACAACAAAAGTTTATAACAAAAGTTTTATAATATTCTCCATTGATACAATTAGAAATTATAAATAAACTTGGGGTCACTTTTGGCAATATAGCTTCTTAAGTAGTCAGTATAAATACACAGTAGCTCCTTACGTAGTCAGTATAAATACACACTTGGCTTTGACAGTTTTAGGTTCTAGCGTTCCTAATGAAAGGTTATCCCCAAAACATGTTTCGGATGCATCAAATGTTCTAGTCTTATTTTCAATGTAGATATATAAATTCACAATCGTTGTTTAAATAAACCCATAAAAATTCTAACCACATTATTCGTCAAAAAGCAAATAGATAAATTGAAAAAAATCCATCAATGAATGTAAAAATACTTTAACAGTTGACATATGAGACGCAAATTGAAATTCGGAGTTAAAATGTTTATATATTCCAATAGCAATAGTTTAACTTGTTTCTATTCAGCATCGTGTTCATTTGCAACGATTAATGAAATATAATTGTATGCAAGCAAAATTAAGACTAAATACCATTGTCAGAAAACATAGTTTGTTTTACAAAAACACTGTTACAGGATTCTCCGACTAAATTTTAATTTACCAATAATTCCGGCGAATGTCATTAAAATCCTCTCATTTAAACAAAGTATACTGTTGAGGTCAACTGGAATTATGTCCATGGTTGCTATAGTATTCATTGTTAGATTCTCTCCTTTTTCTCTGGAAAACCAACGTGAAGAAAAATCCCAACCAGACTCGCAGGCAGAAACTAAGTTTGAATACAGTTTGGGTCTGTCAGCTACAAAACAAAAAAAGAATTAAGAATTGTAAGCAAATTAATGATTCATTAAACATAACATTGTACTTTCAAATAATCTTTTGCGAGTCGTGTCTTTTTGAAAAAGGGACCTAACAATTATAATATCTCAGGAATCGAGAAGAGGTTTGTTCCATTTTACATTGTTAGTTTGCATCAAGAAATAAAACACACACTTGTACCGTAAAGAGATGCGTCCCCAAAGTCAACTGACAAAGCTGAAAACAATACAGTTGAGACATATGAAACAATGGTAGAAAGGTCGGCATATTTTGGACTTGTAATAGTTATTATTTTAGTTTAAATATTGGAATAAAAGATTTTCTGACGTAAACAAAAATATTCTTACAAATTCCTTAGATATGGTCGCCAGTAAAATTGACACTGTTAATGTTATATATGTAGGGAATGAGAACATTTGAATTCACCAACCTTTAAAGAATTACCAATTGCAACATGAAACAAATATGTTAAATGAAGAAGGAACACATCTACTTTGTTAAAAATAACTCTGAATGATTTAACCAAAAACTGACACCAACTAGATGCATGAGGGTTTTTATTAACATTCTTTTTTCATATGTATGGTGTTTTTCAACAAACAGTTGGCATTCTAATAAAAAGCAACAGCGTTCTCTTTCTCCTCACCAAATTATACCTATAATTGTATAAAACAAAAGTTGATACAGAAGCTTTTCAATGGGAATTAAACTAAGGTTTCGACTCCCTTAGGCAATGTTGACCGTAAATGGACTCGGCTATTATTTTCAGGTACGTTTTGGTCATATAGCTCTTCAACTGTTTCGGTTCTTATACTCATCGGCTTCAAAATATTCGGCTTTTAGACTGCTAAGAAATCTTGTTGGCACAGGCCCTGGTTATATTTCATTTGTAGTAGCCTCAATCCCGTTCCCTTGCTTCGTTTTTGACCAAATACAACTTATCATTATTTATTTCAGATACCTGCCTATTCGTGTTAAATCGTTGCCATACCAAAATTTATTGACCCTCTTCTACATAAATTTTGTCAATTTGCATTCAGTGCATATTTACCAATATTTCTTTGCTCTGCAGTCTTTACATCTTCAAAATAGGACTCTGGTCTGCAAATAAACGAAATTTGTAAGTTGTGCAAGCATACTTTAATGGTGGAAGGAAAAACATGAATTTCTTGAATTTCTTTACTTAGAAATAATTTTAGAATTACATACGGAATGCAGTACGGCAAAAAACCTATTTGGTTTCGTGTTATTTCTTTAGACTAAGTGATGTAACTGGTTCTGGTAGGTACACGGGATGAACCTGTTTTAACTTGTCGTTGGTATGCTTGTACACTAATATGTTGTGATCTGTGACTTGTTTGTCTGTCGTTGGTATGCTTGTACACTAATATGTTGTGATCTGTGACTTGTTTGTCTGTCGTTGGTATGCTTGTACACTAATATGTTGTGATCTGTGACTTGTTTGTCTTTCATTGGTTTTTCGCTATTTTTGCCAAGGTGTTGTCAGTTTATCTTCGACTTATGAGTTTGAATAACCCTTTGATATCTGACTTTTTTATACCATGTTTATTAAGACCACTTCTTTGTTATTTTAATCGTATTAATTTATGATCGTTTATATTGATGCAACAAAAGTTTCATAATTTTCTCAACGAAAATGGCCATTGTTAGATTATAGTTCGTTTCTGTGTGTGTTACATTTTAATGTTGTGTTTTTGTTGTGTCGTTGTTCTCCTCTTATATTTGATGCGTTTCCCTCAGTTTTAGTTTGTAACCCGGATTTGTTTTTATCTCTATCGATTTATGGGTTTCGAACAGCGGTATACTACTGTTGCCTTTATTATCAAACCCTACCATGTATCAGGTGTATTGATCTTTTGCATGCAGTCATTGTTTTGTACTTGTATGCATGTCTTTAGCGAGTTTACAACAAAGTGATGAGAATGCAGATATAGTTATCTGTAAAACAAGATGCTTATACTAACCATCATTCCACCGAACTTCTCAGTGGTCTAATTATTCCAGCATTTATAATTCACTTACCTTGGTTTGATTACGTCTGATTGATACTGGTTTAATATATGCATCTTTCGATCCTTTTCAACTGATATAGTTCTGTTTTTCATCCAGAATTCGTATTCAGCTTCTAATATATGGAAATTATTTCTGATGAATTCAAGATCATCTGTTGACTTATAATATTCATACATCATTGGAATAAAAAATGGAGGCTGCGATCTTCTGGTGAAATATGTTCTCCCACCGTTAGGTATAAAGCCAAAACTAAAAACACGACAACATAATTCTGTCACAAATGGTTAACTTAGTGAATTTCACTACGAGATCTTATCAAAATCAAACGATGTATATTTGGCTTATTTGCCCAGAGTAAAATAACTGCGTCCGAATGACTTTTTTCGTACAGACTTTAACTTTGTGAGCTTGCACGATAAATATCTGACTCAGCATGTCGGTCTTGTACAAAGTTGGATTTATTTATATTTTTATCGGATGGTATACCATATTCTGTCTACAACCTGACATTAACAATCTGTCAATCGATCTGTATACGGTTTCGGTCGTAAATATGTGATAAAAAACTTAAGAAAAGGACAAATATGTTTCACATATGAAATATTCAACTGTGTAAATGCATATTATCAAGGGCACTCTTATAATCACTTTATTGCACTCTTTATAACCAAGATTTGTTTTACACAAGAAGGTACATAACTCTAAATAAGTTGAGCTATTTTGCACATCCTAATGATCACTGGCTAAATGATATGATTTTACTGATGATTAAAAAATGACACAGGAATATGTAACCCAATGAAAACATTTGAATTTATGGTTAATACGAAATAATAATTAATTGCATGAAAATACGGATATTGTGTTATAAAATATTGTCGTTACCAACTTTTGAAAATTATTTTAAATTAAGGAATATATCTCCCTCCCTGTACAAAGCTCTGATTCCTTGCCCGGCTTTGGCTATACCTTTGGTCAGTTTTGGTTTATAAGCTCTTATTTTTGTAATAAGTTTTTGATTTTCAAATGTTTTGAACTCGAGCACATCAGAGACATTTATTATCGAAATGTGCATCTGGTGCAGAACATTGGTACCGTTAATGTTATTATAATGTAGCTTTTTATGTTTAACTGTATGCAAATCATTTGCATTTGTCAGTTTTTGAGTTAGCAAACCTTACGTTTTGACATAGTGTATAAAATTTTCCATCATTCCTTTGACTGTAGTGTTCATTTCACATACCAGTAATCCCTTAATTACCCAGTAAGAATCCCTGAAAAAGAATGTAAAAACCCTAAATGATACGTATCATAATAATATGCATGTGTATTCATGTTATAGTGTGTACATGTATTTGATCTCACTTGTTTGACCACCACTGTAACGTACAACTTCCCGCTTCATTTCATTAAAATTTAGCCCTATGCCCATTAAACACCATACCGCCGTATAACCAATAGGGTCCTGGTTGAATTAACGTTTATCTCTTTTCTTATTTTCATCTTCTGTTTTTTTTTCAAGTTGAAAGAGTAATATTTTACCGTATCAATATCGATATCAGTCTTGCATATTTATGTTGTTTCCGATGTGGCTTTATTTACACATACATAGAATGACGTAATCATTGACATGTCCAATATCAAAACATCTCTGTTTTATGTAAAAAAAGTCATTGTTTAATCATGATAGGACGTTTTTTAGTATATAAAATTGAGAATGGAAATGGGGAATATGTCAAAGAGACAACAACCCGACCAAAGAGCAGACAACAGCCGAAGGCCACCAATGGGTCTTCAATGCAGCGAGAAAATCCCGCACCCGGAGGTGGTCCTCAGCTGGCCCCTAACTAAAATTGTGTGCTAGTTCAGTGAAAATGGACGTCACACTAAACTCCAAAACATATAAATGAATGAGTATATAAATATTTAACATCTATATAGATATATGATCAGTAGAGTACATTTGCATTTGATATCATCCTCAAGTTATAGAACCCAAGCAAATCCTTGATAAAGAGGGGCGTCCTTTTGACTGTGTGGGATGTATACATAAGCAGCCCCCTCCGATTGACTTGGGTACGTTTAATTATATGCCTCGTGTAGGATGAGTACCACGCATTCTGCACGTTAATGAATCCTTGCAACAACTATCTGATGTGTTCATAGGTGGGCTGTTTCCATGCCACATTTCTGCCTCTATCCACCATACCCTCAATTTCCAGTGGCAGTGCAAATTTCCCGCACTTCATTTTTCTACACCTGTATTTTTTTCCTTCTAAATCTTAGTTTGTCTTTGGAAATTGTAAATCACTAACAAATATAATGTGTTCGTTTTATATTTATAAAGATATAAAAATTGGGACTTGTTTTTGCCTTACTGATATTGTAAACGATTCAGAAAAAGACATATATCGATAAACATCATATGAATTTACCAATAAAATGTCTCCCTGAAGCGACCACCAGGAACAATAAAGGGTTTCGGTAAATAGATCATCGAATATCGATCTGGATTTATCTTCACGTCGTCTTTTACCTAAAATAAAGGTTTTGTACACAAGAATAATATGAAAAAAAAACCCCGATATAAATATTTATTTAACTTTACTTTTAAGAAAACATAGTAGAAAAAGGGTTATTCTTTACCCTTCACCAATAAATGAAACATGTATGGCCAATTTCCCTTGTACTTCTCTCGGTCTGACAGACTGATCAGAAAGTTAGTGAAATCTAATGAATAGTATAAGAGTCCGTTATATTTTAAGTTGTTCAACAATTTTACACCTATACATGAATTCGAAATATTATGCAATGCTAAAACTTGCTGTCGAAGACAATCTTGATACGTTTTAACCAAGTCTGCATGTTTTCAAAACGTTGCTTTTGAAGGACACCCGCACTAACTGAATTATTATGTTTCTTGAAGGGAGCTGTACTTTCAACATTATTTTTAGCTTCGGCTTGACACATCTTTCTGATTTATTTTGTGACAGCTATTTAAAATTTTCTACTATGTATCGAAATTGTAGTGTTGGACCAACCTTTCTGTGTTTTTAACTCGTCCCTTTACTAAGAGTTAATGAAATTGTGATCAATTTTTGCAATTAAGCATAAGGATGGAATTAATTATTTTCTGAGAGAAAAAAATCTTTGGATTACTTAGATAAATTACGTGCTTTTAATGAACCTGTAACATTGGTTGACAATTGTGACTTTTTCGACACTCTACACTTCATTTCCACACAATCTTATCAAACGGAAGTTTATTATCAAATTGTATGTCCTTTGAACAATCTGATTGCAGATTTATTAAAAATTTAGATATTTCAATTTCACACGGGAGAACCAAAGAAATGATTTACAAAAAATCGTTCTGTATTGTTATTTTTTCTTTTTAGGACGGAGATGTTTTATTGGCCTATCTTAGGTTGTGTATATTTCCCAACTTGTTCGCTATGCTCGTGTCTGTAGTGACGTTTTAGATTTTAATAACTTAATCTATGTATAACTGGCAAATTATAAAGTCAGTATTTAAAACTTTTACAAAATTCTTTCATAGAAACAAATATTTGATTTTAAAGTTTGACATCACCTGCAGTGTGTAGTATTCCTATCAAAACGGGATATCACGTCCTAATTCTTACGCTAATGCTGTTAATAAAGCCCATGAATTAAGATACGTTCCATACAAACTCGTTGATCTTTGGAATAAACTAATCCTTAAAGGATACCAATGTAACACCGTAGTAAGATCTTTGAATATTGTTTAACTGTGGTCCTACACCCTGTCGATATTCTGTACGTATATTCTGGCGTTGCACAATGACATGCTTTTCTAAGACTGTTTATGACGTTCTTACCCACGATCTGGTGGATATGTACTGATTGATACTTTTGTATGGAAGAAGATGCTTTATTTATTAGTTTGTTATCAACTTTGAACTAACTTTCAGTAACTGTGAGTACTCTTAGATTGGAACTTTATGTATTTTGTCTTTACGTTAGTTCTTTGATTGTGTTCGTGTCGATCTAATGAGTCAAGCCATTTCGAACTGGGTTTTAAGATATGTTGTGCTTTTATACCACTATCCCATGTTAGGAGGAGGATTGACAACTCACAAACATGTTTCACCCCGTCACATTATATTTGTGCTTGTTCCAATTCAGGAGCATCTAATTAAGTGGTTGTCGTTGTTTGCTGTCTGTCATAGTTGTTTTTGCTTATTGTTTTATCATAAATAAGGCTGTTGGTTTTTTGCGTTTGAATTGTTCCACATTCTGTTATGTCGGGCCTTTTAAAGCTGACTATACGGTATTGGAGTTGCTCATTGTTGACTGTGATTAGTAGTTGTCTTACAGGCAATCAAACCACATCTCCATATTTTTTATATACAAACACCAATTTATAACTAAATGAACCACCTTATATCTCCCGAAAGAGTTACATATAGTCTGAAGTTAACTTATTTATTTAAATGCAGATTTATAAAAAGGATATGGGTAGAGAAAGGCCATGGAATGGGTATTAAATATTGGTGAAAACTGAAAATAGTAGTTCACTTGAAAGTAGAAAACAAGTTGACCGAAGATATAACGTTCAAAAAATTAGATCCGGTAAATCATTAATGAATCTCGGAATGTTTTTATTTCATTACATGTAAGATGGAATGATATTGTTTACTTAAAAAAAAAATATCATACGAGATGACAAAAAATAATGATAAAATTGAAAATAATAATCATTATTATTATACATAAGTACTATACCTTTCTTCCCAGATCTTTCCAAATTCGACAAAGGTCCCATCCAAAGTCTTTAAGTTGGGGGTCTTTTATGTCATTTAGAAAACGTGGTCTAATGAGTGGCGAATAGAGTAAAATAATGATAAAGGCAAGATGATATGCTGTTACAATCTGGAAACTCACATCAATTATGAAATGTGCAAACGTCTTGTTTTATTCTGTTTTTTTGTTTGTTTTGGTCTGTTTTATCTTTTTTTCGGGTATTTTGATTCTTATTTTCCACTGTCATAAATGTTATAATCAACCTCTATGGAACTAACGAAGGAACCTGTTGTTCAGTGGTTGTCGTTTGTTGATGTGGTTCATAAGTGTTTCTCGTTTCTCGTTTTTTTATAGATAAAACCTTTGGTTTTCTTGTTTGAATGGGTTTACACTAGTCACTTTTGGGACCCTTTATTGCAAGCCGTTAGATGTGAGCCAAGGCTCCGTGTTGAAGGCCGTACTTTGACCTATAATGGTTTACTTCTACAAAATTGTGACTTGAATGGAGAGTTGTCGCATTGGCACTCATACCACATCTTCTTATATCTATTAACAAAAACTAAAACTAAAAAAGCCGAAGATATTACCCATCTTAACCATAAATAATGACTTGGATGGAGAGTTGTCTCATTGGAACTCATACCACATCTTCTTATTTATACAAGACGGTATGCAGTTGAATAATAATTTTGTATTTGAGCAAAGCCACTTAAAACAATCATAAAAATGTTTTTTTTTCAGTTCTTTAATAATAAATAATTTGTTGTGCATAATTTTGAAATTATAAAAAAAACTAAGATTTCAACTCCCTCAGGCAAAGTTGACCTTAGATGAATTTGGCTATTTGTTTTATGTATTTTTGTCATATAGCTCTTCAACTGTTTCGGTACTTATACATCCCTCGGATTTCAAATGTTTGGCTTTGAGCGTTTCTGATGAAGGTAAATCCAGAAAAGCGCTTCGGACGCATGAAATTATTAAACGTGTTGTTTTCAATTTTTTACATTACTGGGTCTATACCTCTGCTGGTGGACTATCAGTCCCCGAGGGTATCAGCTCAGTAGTCAGTACTTCGGTACTGACATGATTTATAACAAACCTTTCTAAAATTGTCCGTTTATAAATTTTGAAATTACAAAGAAACTAAGGTTTCAACTCCCTCAGGCAAAGTTGACCTTAGATGAATTTGGCTACCGTTATTTGTTTTATGTATTTTTGTCATATAGCTCTTCAACTGTTTCGGTACTTATACATCCCTCGGATTTCAAATGTTTGGCTTTGAGCGTTCCTGATGAAAGTAAATCCAGAAAAGCGCTTCGGACGCATGAAATTATTAAACGTGTTGTTTTCAATTTTTTGGAAATAGACACAATGTACACCCTGTTGATAGATGTTACTCAATAGCAACGTCTTTTTGGTTTGTAGAATTATCTTCGGTAATGCGTAAACATTGTGCACTGAATAAACAATATCTCAACAGTTCCGTCATTTTCTTCTTTGATCTTAATTGGCATTTGGTGCAAATAATATTTGGTAGTATTTTTAAAACCACATAATTTCTTAATTTTTTGCATGATATAATGTAGCTGTCTACCTACTCACAATTTAACATAATCTGTTGGAGCCCATGTTTCTAATTCTTCACCAGGTCCAGTAAAGTACATAGAGACAAAGTTTTTCAATGTGGTCGTAGACTGGTTTGTTAAGTTGTTAAATGCTGAGATTATTACATCTACAATAAAAAAAATGTTAACGCCGTTAATCTAATAGGTTGTAATCATCAAGATAGATATAAAAGATCTGAATTAAGTCTGCACCTTTTATATTTTCATCTTTTTGTGCGATGAGATTGAGATATGCCTTAATAAAGATAAGCCCAACATTAAATTATACAGTATTACTATTTTGCATGATCATGTTTTTAACTATAACAAAAAGGATTTAGAGACAGATGAAGTAAATATATATCATGTGAAATTACAAAATACAAGGATATATATTTCTTAAACCATTAATACTCTAAACATAACATCTCATAGTTTTCTTATTTTTTCTCACCTGGACTTTCTTTCATACTCATGTCAACAAAGGTTTTCCCATCTGGAAATATCTTGGCCATTTGTACAGCATGTAACAATGGTCCATCACAGTAAATCTGGCTAATGAAATCATCATTCTATATCATTATTAAATGTAATATATAAAGGGGCATTTTATACATATACCGACTATTCCTATTGATATGGAACAGTTACCTCTATGCAAGTACAGTAACATTCCACTTGCACATGCATTAATTGACTATTTTCTTTTTCATAAAAGTCCTTTATAAATAAATGGTGAATTTGTCCATGGGACACAGATGATGCCCCCGCTTGCATACAACGTTATAAAGGGACATAACCCAAGAACCGTAGAAGTGACGCTACCCAAATTTGTACTTGATCAGAGTTTTGTAGTAATAAGCATTGTGTATAAGTTTCATAACATTTAGTTGAGGCAAACTCAAGTTAGAAAGCGGAAACTAAAAACTCTAGAACAGTAAAAGTGACGCCACCAAAATTCAAATTTGATCTGTGTTTAGTGGTAATAAGCATTGTGCATAAGATTCATAACACTTGGTTTAGGCAAACTAAAGTTATAAAACGAAACGAAAAATTCAGCAATTTTTCCATTTGTAAAGGGGCATAAATCTAGAACGGTAAAAGTGACGCCCACAATATTCATACTTGATCTGTGTTTTGTGGTAATAAGTATTGTGTATAAGTTTCAGAACATTTGGTTGAGGCAAACTAAAGTTAGAGAACGGAAACCAATTTTGGGACGTACGTAGGACGTACGGACGGACGGACATGGGTAAAACTTAATGCCCCCTCCGATACGGCGGGGGCATAAAAAAGTATTTTTGTCGTGAAAATGTCAGTCGCCTCTAGAATAATTCAAATTAAAGGAAAAGATTTTGGCAAAAATAGTTGATAGGTAAACCTCAAACGATGCAAAACTGTTCGTTGCAATTTACATTCAACCAAACAACATGGTTGTTCTCATCTGAATTTTTTACCTTTTATGTCTGTTTGTTTGATCATACATTGTTGTCAATATAATGGAATTCTATACGACTGTCCTACAAGTGAGAGGTTTAGCTAGCTATAAAACCAGGTTTAATCCACCATTTTCTACATAAGGAAGTGCATGTACCAAATCAGGAATATGACAGTTGTTTTACCATTCGTTTGGTGTGTTTAAGTTTTTGATGTTGCCATTTTATAAAGGACTTTCCGTTTTGGATTTCCCTTGGAGTTCGGTATTTTTGTTATTTTACTTTTTGTAATGACCTAGTTTTACGCTGTATTCTTATTGCAAAAAAATATGTGTTTGTAGTAGTAAAATTGCTGAATGTTTTGTTAGTATTAAGCACAAAGAAAGAACAAAACGATTAGTAGGAAGCCAAGCATGTAAAAAACTTGAATACTTCAGGAACTTTATCACCAAAAAGGGGCATGAAAAGAATATCCAAATACATGTACATCTAAAGTCAACTTTGCCTGATTGACTAGGAACCTTAGTTTCTTAACAATTTCTAAATTTATCAACGTAAAATTTTAAACGGGCATGTTATATATTAGATCAGTATCGAAACAATATCTTCTGTACACATGATACCACTTGGGGATTAGTAGTACACCAGTAGCGATGTCGACACAGTGCTAACACATTAAAAAAAATTCAATGTATAAATTTGACGCGTTTTTCTGGATCCAACTTCATCAGAAACGCGCAAAGCCAAGGATGTGTAAATAGTTGAATACATAAGAAGCTTACTACTTAAAGGCGCATAAAACCTTAGTTCCTAAACAATTTCTAAGTTTTTCTCAACGAATTTAAAAATTTCAGCTCTGTTTAAACAATTAAAATTAAAATCATGTTATCACCGATAAAAGAAATATTTACACATCTTACAACAATGAAAAATTGGCAACCTTTATGAATGAGTTTAGAACTGTCTTATTTTTTCCCAGAAAAAAAAAAACTGGTACACAAAAATGTTTGTCTTTTATTTTCTGTTAGATGTATTTATGCCTCTATTTCTAAATGGGAAATTTAATATAATAGCTTAACGAGCTAAAGTTGTATGCAAAAAATTTAGCAAAATCTGAGACATAGCCTATTTACTGTTCCTTGACCTTAAGTTGAATATATCACTTAAATTATTTTTTTGTATTGCATTCATGTCTTGATTTGCCATTACAATACAGGTATGCTGTATTTGTATCAACCCTGTCCTATTCTAGTCGTTAAGTGCCAAACTTGATTTACTTCCGGGTTTAGATATCACCTACATAATGAGTACAGCCAGTGAACCACAGGCACTTGTTTCTATCCATGGGAAGCCCCACTATCAACGTATATTAATATACGTTGATAGTGGGGCTTCCCATGGATAGACACAAGTGCCTGTGCAGTGAACTGCAAACCACTCATAAGCACCTGTGTTCTAAATTTACGACAAGATTCTACTAGCCTATCTGTAGTTCAATCTTTAATTTTTAGAGTAATACTTTAAGTACTCAGTTTATTTGTCCTTATCTTCTTTTACGTACTGGTTTTCATTTGGTATTTGCCAGCTTTTCTTTCAACAGATTGCCCTTTTCGAACAAATATTCATGATACTTTCATCTATGATAGAACACATTTTAACAAAAAGTTTCAAACCGTGTAATCCTTTCATATCAATACAAAGTTTAATACTATATGGTTGTGTTTCTTATCTAGACGTATCAAATTTAAATGAATCATCAATGTTTTATTCATAACCCTACCTATCACAAGCGGCTAGCTCCTGACTAAACGTATATCCAAAGCACAGCAAAATAATTAACATCCTAGAGATACAGTTATCTAACACGAATCATAATTGTATAAAATAGTGTATATTGTGTATGTTTTATGTACGGATGCGCGTATCGTTAACTATCTCAGTTCCTCATTCTTTGTTTACAAAACGTGTCTGATAATAACATGCTTTAATATAAATGTTGTTGGAATGAACTACTCGTCCAATAGAATTCTAACTTTATATTATCATACAAAAACGATACGCCTTTAACATAAGTGCTGTATTTTCATTCAGTATATACACGCTACGATACTATGGCGTTGTTTGTTTCCTGAGACATATACGCAGGGTTTACGAATGGCGTTGTTTGTTTCCTGAGACATATACGCAGGGTATACGAATGGCGTTGTTTGTTTCCTGAGACATATACGCAGGGTTTACGAATGGCGTTGTTTGTTTCCTGAGACATATACGCAGGGTTTACGAATGGCGTTGTTTGTTTCCTGAGACATATACGCAGGGTTTACGAATGGCGTTGTTTGTTTTTCATCGACTTATGAGTCTGAATATCCCTATTGATATCTTCCGCCTCTCGTTCACTATTTAAATATTATTATGCAGCTGTTGTTTGAATTTGGATGGTTGTTCCTATTTTATTTTTATAGTTGTAGTTAAATTTTTCATTTTACAAATATATTATTTTGAACGAATTGTTTTGTTTTAACCATAACATACCGCACAACGGGATTTTTTGGCGATAGTCTAATTGCCACGGTATTTCGTGGTCAAAGTCAAATCGCAAAAAAGTAGAATCAACAAAATTATATAAAGGAGCATGATGAAACACTTTTTTATATTCATGTTATCACTTTACCCATACACTTAAAGTAGGTGGTAGCGGTTAACACATAATAACCATAGTATTTGAAAGTTAACTGTTATTTGCTGATTAACCCTTTCACTCATAGAATATTGCTGATATATATAAAAAAAAATGTTGATATTATTTCCATAGGCAAAACAAGTGCCTCTTGGATAGTCTTCATGCACCAAGTATGCTCGCGACTACAATAGTGACGGAAGACACCAAAGGGATAATCAAAATTCGTAAGTCATAGAAAAACTGACAAAACCACGAAAAAAAAAATGAAAAACGACCAAAAGACAAACAGCAGAATGTTGAAAAGCTAAATTATAAAAATTGAAGATTGCAAAGACAAATGGGTCTTTACAAAATAGCCTTTATAGTCTACTGTCAACTTTGCCTGTGGGAATTACAACCTTCGCCTTGCAAATTTACATCATTTATATAAACAATATTTCATGCCTTACTGTACACATGTTTTCATTTTTAAACGAGATTCACTGGGTATAAAACAAACACCAAGTTTGTCAACAATATTAATAATTGTTACGTACATGATAAAATTCATGATAAAAAATTAAGAGATGAAATCAAAATCCAAAGTCGCCGTCGTTTCTATTAAAAATCAACTGTTTTCTAGTTTAGGCTTTATCAAAGATACAAGGCTTATAATTTTGTACGCCAGACTCGTACGAAGTTGAATAGCATTGAGAACCAAAGTTCCGAAAAGTTTTACCAATTAGGGATAAGGTAATCTATTCCTAGGGTAGAAAATCCTTAGTATTTGGAACAATTCAAAGTTTTGTAAACTGTTAATTTATTAATATTACCATATCAATGATAATTCATGTAGACACAGAGGGGCTAGTGGCGACTCTTGTTGGGTACTTTTTAGAGTTCTATTTCCTATATGCAATTCTTTGACGCTTGTAACAAATATTATAAGAAACAACAGAAGATTATCAATTTTAAAGTTTTGTAAATCTATTTGGGATTTTAATATCATGAAAAACGGAACGAGACCGGGTGTGCAAACAGATTTAGCGTCCCTTGTTATTTATATGTACCACTCGCCATGAATCCAGGAACAATATCTCGATAGGTAATAACACATAACCGGTTGATTTAAATATCAGACACTATTCTGTTATCTAAACAGTAAAATAACAAAAATACCGAACTCCAAGGAAAATTCAAAACGGAAAGTCCTTTATCAAATGGCAAAATCAAAAGTTTAAACACATCAAACGAATGGAAAACAACTGTCCTATTCCTGACTTGGTACATACATTTCCTTATGTAGAAAATGTTGGATAAAACCTGGTTTTATTGAACAGCCTTTATTTATAGCTTTAAGGAAATGAGACAAAAAGCTTGTCTTTCATGAGTCAAGACACAAATGCATATCGGTCAGATAATTCGTGATGTTGGCTGTAAAAATTTCGTAATTTCGATTTAAATAGAGTTTCCTCACGATCCTGCTGAAAACTTTTTGTGTTAGTTCACCCTATAAAGCTCACCCCTATAAGTGCTGCCCTTGTAATGTTAACATGCTCGCTAGTAACGTATCAATTGCGTTATGTAAATGTATGAGCTGTCACGTTGGTCAATGATCAAAGTTTGATGTCGTCCATATATGTAAATTTTAAGAACAAAATTCAGATATGAAGCAGACCAGCTAGTTTCTGTAGTATCTTTTATTTCAAGATCACTATGATGTATTAGATACAAACATCGGATGAAATGTGGATTATAATAACTGGATATATATTTGAAAATGTGATTATAAGAAAAAATACAAAATCACCACTGGCAAACGCTTAGAAACTAACGCTTGGAACATTTAAAAATTATCTACTCTAGGGGTGGTGTGATTCAGATGTGGTAACCAAATCCATACATATCTTTGAATACATAACAAGGAATGGCCAACAAATACAAATGCTCTCATTTAAACAAAATTATCTAAAAATGTAATCGTCAAGATGCTTGATTTTGGTATTGACAAGATATTTGTTACATTTGGAGGAAGTGTTTTTTAACAGACAATCTGTATTCATATGGCAATTAACTGAGCTCTTCTTCTTGATGACTTGTTCCTTAATTCATGTTAGGCAGAGTTCATACAAGAGCTTATTATGAAGAATGAAAAGTTCCTAGCTTTGTATTTTAACTTCACGTACCGTTATAGTACTTGATTCGGCCTTTAAACTGTTTTACTCAATCGTCATTGGTGAGTCTTTTGTAGACGGAACACGCGCCTTGCGTAAAAAATCAAAAGCCTGGTGTCTTTGATGAGTTTATTTTCACTTTTATGTAGTAGCATTGAAGCTATGCATGCATATGGAGTATATTTCTCCAGGTTCATGCGATATTCCAGAGCTTGCTTTTTCTTTCATGATTTATTTGATATAGGGTTGCTGCTTGCAAGAAAGTCATTGAACCAAAGTTTCATAGTGGTCAAGTGAAGACATTCTTCGACGTTTTACGGGCGCCACCATGGGTTTGGGTTGACCGTTATGGGATATCTGAGTCACAGAGGATTACGAATATGTTCCAATTGTCGTAGCCATTCTTCCCTCCTCTTTTAATCGAAAGTGGCTTAATATTGAATTTGTACTTAACTTGAGCAACCTGACGGCTTCCAAATATGATGTAGGCTCTGCTTACACTTGCAGATTACTTTAGAACTCCTCTAGCTTTGTTTAAAAGTAGTTTATGTTGCTTTTATTTAGATTTAAGCGTTGTACTTTGTTCTTTTTCCTTTTTCAATGTATGTGCTATTTCTACCAATAAAAGTCTTCTATTCTTTGTCCTATTTCAATTATAAATTTCCCAATCGGTCAAGTTTTAGGGTTAGAAAATTTGAAAAACAGATTATTTATGATTCTGGTGTAATCTAGGGTTAGATAAGAGTCAATTACCAATCCGTTATTGTGTGATGGGTGATTACTTGAAATAACACGACGATTGTCAAATTTGATCTACTAATCCTCCTGATCACATGAGAACGTTCCGGCTTTGGTGGGATTATTGTTGCTCAGTCTTTATTTTTATGTAGTGTTTTGTTGATTGTGGTTTGTATTTTTGTCGATAAAAAGAAATCATAAAAAAGGGGCAACATATAATAGCGAATAAGGAACTAATAAGAAGCGAATAAGTAACAGAGTATCAGTCGATCGCGGAGACGGGGACATACGCATCAACAGGCTAATTTCACCTCACCGAACCCATAACTAACAACAGAGATAAGAACATAAAAGAAAAGAATGTATTGAAAGGATGCAACGTTTAGATGGCGAATAAGGAAAGAATAAGTAGCGAATAAGAAGTAGGTTATCAGTTGAGCGCGAGAACGGGTACATACTCGCTGGCAGCGTAACTTTACCTCCTCGAACCAACAACAAACACCGTAGTCAAGAAAAGAAAAGAAATCATTAAAAGGGGCATAGAAACCAAAATCAGCAATTGAGTGTAAGTTCAAACCATGTAACAGGTTAGATTTGATTAAAAAGATTTATGGCCAAATTTATTCTGTATATACTATCGTTGGGTCGATATTACTCCTGGTGAATTTTAAGTCCTTAATGGTACGATCCTCTCAGCAGCCTATGCCTAAATACCTTGAAGGATGCATTTATACTAAATTGCAATTCTGTTCGGCAAAATTGATCCTTGACGGGTTTAAGCTGCATTGAATTTGACTTTTTGTTTTGATTATGTTATAATTTTTATTGTGTTGGTTTCCAAAACTGTTGGTCTCGACAGTAACTGAAGGTTTTTTTCCTAAAAAAAACGTTCGTTGGATACTTTATTGGGGGTATAATACATTTGTATTGAGTTTTTTTATAGTGGGTGCTTAATCTTCTGTCTATATTCCCTTTATTATCTTTTGCAAACGAATAGGGCATGGAAAACATTAAGAAATAGAAACATAAAGAAACGCTTGTTTCAAGTAAATGTTACATTAGTGGCTATAATTAAATCAACAGTAGTATACCGCTGTTCAAAAGTAATAAATCGATTGAGAGAAAATAGATCCGGGTTACAAACTAAAACCGAGGGAAACACATCAACTATAAGAGGAAAAAAACAGAACAACAGAAACACTGAAGTGCAACAAAAACAAACGCCAACATACATAGAAACGAACTATTTGATAATTGGTGTTTTATATGCATATTTTCTAAATGTTTGACATAAAATTTGATCCTTTTTTTATTTCCAGCCGTATAATCCAAAAGGGTGTTACAAAAGACATCCTTTTAAGTCAGTGTACATCGTATAAATAGTTGTATATTAGTTAAAGTCCTCATTTTGTAAATGTTATCTTCAGTAAAAATATGTAGA